ACTCCATTTCTTTTGGATGGTTGTATTCTCGTAATGGGCAATTCTGCGAGAATATAGATGTGGAACGAAGGCTCAAAATCATGACCTCCGGCGCAAGTGCAAAATTGTCCCTGTGCTCTCAGCGACCGGGGAGCCAATTCAAGCCAATTCCCCTGTCGTCGCTTAGGAGTTAACATCCCCGTAAGTGGCATTTCATGATGACCACGGGTGGAAACAGCAATCTGTTTGTCCGGGCACGCGCCAGCAGCGCGTGTTGCCCCCGTACCGGGGGTGGAAGAAACTCACGCAGGGCCCGTTGGGTCGATGCCGCGTCGCACCTGGTGTCAGCGATCACGTACAAACACACGCTCGCTTGGGTATCGATTTTTCCGCTAAAGTGAGACAAAATATTTTCCAATCAGGTTTTCTGCACCCCAATCAATTGATAATTAGTAAATAAAAAGATTAAAATCGATCAATTCCCTCTGTAGGCTTAATGTTGTTTCCAAAAGACATTGATGATCATTATAAACTCGTATCTTTCCCATCAAAACGAATCTTCAAACCTGTCTTGTGAAATCATTTCTCATGCTCTCAAGAAACAGAAAATGTAAAAAAGATGTGCTGACATAAGTCTTGAGGACATATTCTTTTTTATTTCAATCGCAGTACATTTTTTCGTGAAGAGCTGCTTATTCCCCCATGATCAACCACCACTGGTTCAGAATCTTACATTGAATTGGTACCAAGAATAATTACCGGCAACGCAAGACGCATAACCTTTGGACTTTAAACTGGTACAGAGTGGACGCCATCTTGAATATTTCCTGGAGCACTCGAAGTGCACGAGTGGTCTGAACTGTTCACCTTCGACTGGCATACAAACCTGGAGCCCTGAGGCACAGAGCCACTCGACACTGTCGTACCCATGTGTTAGCAATGTCTTGCATGTCAGGAGCCAGCGGATAGATATACAAGCACAGATTACCCTATGCATTGACCTGCATGGCTGCATTCGGACTTATTGGAAAATGGCAATGTGTCTGAATTTCGTTTAACTGGAGGCAGATCAGCTCTTGCCCTTGTTGTACCGTGGTTTGCTACCGCCCCCATGAGGCATGTCGTGACCATTTCCAATTCTCAGCTGTGTCTCGTGTTAGTCTTCCTCCCCGGCTTAACAATGAACTAGAAGTCTTCACGTCCCAATCAAAGAGACACGCTGAAGATAATGGCCTTTATTTCAAACGGTTTGATGTACACGTGACAAAATAAAAGACTTAGATGTACAGTGACCCGAATCCCCCCTGAAAAAAAACACGTGGGCTTGAAATCCCCTGAAGCGGTACCAGGGGCGAAACTAAAGGTTCGGGAAAAACCCTTGTTATTACCGAGTAACACTCATCAGCATGCACAGTAATTCCCGGAAGTGCTTGCCGTCCCTGTGTCCGGATGCGCGGCATCTCGGCAGGCGAGTGGACGCTTGTGAAGAGGTGCTTGGCCCGCACCGCTCGAGCTGTCTGTTTATTAATATGAATCAACTCATCATTCGAAGGCTATTTTAACGACGTTTTTCGGATCGGGGATGTGGTACATGTACAGGGAATTCCAGTTTTCTCTGTGCACTGGCTAATTGGCTGGGCTTCAGTCACAAGAGCCCCCCCCCCGAACAACAGGAAGATGGGCCGACCTGGGCCTGGGTTTTTTAACCCGTAATTATTTCGAGTGAAAACGACTCTGGGGGACCGGGTACAATCTACCCAGTTGCCTCCCGTAGGTCAGAAAAAGATGCTGTTGCGGTACGGCTGTGCTCCAAGTCGCTCAAATGGCAAAACTGAAGTCGAAGCCAATTGCAAGTTTGTTAAATATACGAGGGTGAACGTCTTGATTTCAAGCTCTGTTGGATCCTGTTTTACAAATTAACCAGAATGCCTAGGTTCCAAAAAGTTATACAACTTCATTTTGGTTGAACGTCTGCAAAGGTAAGAGAGCAGGAGTACAAAAAGATTATTTCAAAACCGGAAATGGATTTTGACGACATCCGGTCATAGTCACGACAGTACATTGTCATTGGCTGCAACGAAAGAATTGAGCTAGATGCATAAAGGTCATTAACATTTTGAACAACGTGGGAAAATTGGTTCCAACATATTTTTTTTGATACAATTGGACTGTTTCACCAAGATCAAGGAAGCCTACGGTGCAGTGAAACGCAACCTTTGGGAAAACGATCAAACGCGTCCATTACGTCACGATAATACATGCAGTAGGCCTTTGTGTAGGTCTACCCAAATCACATCAGCCTTAGTGCACCATGCAAAGGGTCATTTTGCATTTCCGACATGTTTTATATGGCGCCATTCATCAACTGTGAATTCGCCCAAGCCAAATGACGGGCGATGCACATAGAAATGGCAGGAATGTTCTTAAGTTAAAATGTTAGACCTAGAACCCCGCGCGAGTACTAGCGGGAATGCTCTGCCGCACCAAGCTCTGTTTAAAGCATATTATGATTGATAGTGCGCTGCAGATCAGAGGATCCCATCAAACGATGGTTTACATCTGTTTGACATTCATAAATTTCGTTCACAACGAAATGGTTTAAATCAGTTGTATTCTGGTATAAGTGGACTTTTGGTTCATTCGGTGTTTGTGTGAATGCGTGCGATAAATTTGTTGGATTTGAGACAACTACGGTATACAATATGTGTCTCGATAATTTATGGGAGCCACTGAAGTCGTTTGGCTCATTTCTGGATTTTCTGAGGACTCCGAAAAGGTGCTTATTATATTGCTTGAAAATTATTTATTGATTTCTATCAATAATTTCATGCAATATACTGAAAAGTGGATTCAATGGGAGAAATGAAAGCTCCACTGACGGTGCTGTAATGCAAATATCTCAGAAGTGGCAGATGTGCATATTCCATTGATAAGCCTGTATCACTGTTTTCGCGGCCATGAATCTACCTTTCCCTCCGCAGACCCTGAAGATATTTCAAGATGTGAGGACAATTATTCAACGATTTCCCTGGACACTAGTCTTATCGAACATGCCACCGTTTTAGGAGTGCACGAATACTCTGGTTGAAAAGTCTTATCAACAGCTCATTGTATAAACAACCAATTAAGAGAAATCCGTATCCCCCATATCGGTCTGTCATCCATGTTTAATTGGCATTCGTCCAGAAAGCGGGCGCAGAGAGCGTGTTTTGACTGCTAGTCTCTGCCGTGATTAGCCAGTCTTTTCGGTCCGGCCGGTCCGGCAGAGTACGGTCGATGACTGATGGCCATTACTGATGGCCATTACTGATGACTCTCAACTGATGTTGAGATCTAAACAAATCGGGTTTTCATTCAGTCCAAGGAACTTAACCTGCAATGCGTTCCCTAGTCGATCCTCATCGATCATAATGTGTATGGTTTTCGTTTTACATTTTTCTTATCTGATTTAATATCAAGACTGGTCAACAGTGCTGAAAGAATTTTACAACTGAGATGACCACATAAAGTCAAACTCACGGTTAAAAAAAGGACAACAGGAACTTTATGCATAAAAAAGTTCTGGAAAATAGGACGCAGCAGTAGAAAGTACGTTGAGTCTTACACCCAAAAATAGCATTGGTAAATGAAGACAGTAATGCATGGGTAAAGTGAAATAGACTGGCTCCTAGGGTTATTTTTCTTCGACAGAAAAAAAAGTCGTCTGAAAAGGGGGAATTAACAAATCCTAATTTTACTGGCAGTAACAAAAAAGTTCCTAAGCTTCCAGCGGTCTAAAATAATGCACAAAATTAAATTGATTGAATGGCACATGCGTGGTAATACCAGAGCGAGATCTGAGGAATATCAGCATTGATCCACCGATAAGCTGCCAGCTTAGATACCTCGAGACGGCGCAGCTGCAAATATAATCCCGCTATCATGGGTGCCCCCTGCATGCACGCCATCGATTCATCGTGTACTGACCCAATGTTACTCGACTATCAACACAAATAATTAACAGTGTCATGTTTTTAGCATCGTTCACTATCGCTAGCTCCCTTGAATACAAGACAATTAAGTCGGTGCAGCGTTTATGCGCAGAGGGAATAATGTCCAGTCTTTAATTCCGTTTGGTTTGATCAATGTGATGATACAATGTCACTGTGCGTGTGCATGGTGTATATAAGCCGTCAGATTTTGTCGTATATTATGGTAATGCTGGCAGTAGCCCCTTGTACGGATGACGTACCGCTGTGTTCTCCGTAATGCATGGTGGGATTGAATGGGGATCATCGTGTACCTCAGTAGGCAAAAAATACATGTATGTATAAACGAATTAATTTCGACCACAAGAAAGTGAAAGGTGGAATCTTACCGTTACGGAAAATTATTCTCCGGAATATTAAAAACGTTGATTACCCAACTAACTGCCTTCTGGAAATGGGGATAATCGTACTCATAATGTTAATGATAGTAGAGTATATTGATGACCCCTATCCTATCAAACTACTAAAAACAGAGTGATGCGTCATTGGTACATTAAGCTATTATTTTTGCCGTACCTGCCCTGAGCAGAAGCACCCCATCATTGACTGAAAAGACCCATGTTGAACGGGAGTGTTCCTTTTGTTGGTAGTTTACATTTCATAGTGGCGCCGTATAATTACCAAAGGAGCCTCTGTTGTTAGGAAAATTGCACCCTCTCTTGGTTCATCAAGGGCCCATTACGATACCCTGTATTAATAGCAGACTTGTTCTAGTCCCTCGATGTGCTTTTAAGAGTTCAAGTGGGCAACAAATCCCTTTGTATAGGGCCTAGTTTATGTTTTTAACTTGTCGGGGGGTGTACACATACAGGAACAAGGAGTTTTCTTCTCTGCGTATTTTACGCTCTCTTTGGATCTTTTCACCCCATGTATACTCTCTTAACATTCACATCAATGCAATTGATTGCATGGATAGAAATTTATATTCCCAGATTTTAACAAGAGTGTTGTTACTGATTTCTTTCTTCTATGGCACCTAATTTCATTCCACAGGGTGTCTGGCTTCGGAAGCTGAAAATAACCTCCACAAACATCTATTCAATGGCAGCTACAACACGCGCCCTCTACCGGTCGTCAATGCATCCGATATCCTGACGGTGTTTTTCGATTTGGCAGTGACCCAAATTGTCGACGTGGTGAGTGGCACGCGGCAGACCCGCCCGTGTGTTCTATTTGAATAGTCAGTTTCCGAGACCACGAGGTTTTGACTGTTCTGACAAACTCAGATCAAGCCCTGTCCGATCTGCTTGTCTATGTCTGGCAGGAATAACACGTGCTCGTGGAAGCAGTCAGCAGTTAGAGGCTTCACGTGCGTGTCTCGTTCACATTTTTAAACTGTGGCCAAGTATTTCAGATATGGTGTCAGCAGTCGTCAATGTCAACCAACAATGGCAAAATTGCACTTGCTCCACAAATATCCGCCTTTTTCAAAATTGCCTCAAACTGTTTTATGCAATTTTCTGATAATGTTGATAATGCTTTTGAATGTCTAGCGTGTGTAAATTGACCCTTAAATTGACTCCGTATGCAATAAGTTTCCCTGAAGAAAACATGGAAAATAAAAGAAAAGTGAAAATTGCTATTCGTAGAGCACACCATGGCAGATGTAGCTTAGATTTGAAAATGCACCTCATGTTACGATACGGATTATCTAAAGATTAAAGATTTATGATTTTCGTTTGCAGGATGAGAAAAACCAGGTCTTCACTTCAAAAGTGTGGATGAAACAGGTGTGTACTGCGTTCACCAAAAGTTAAGAAATGTGCCTGTGGTAGGATGGTCTTATGAATGTTCAATGTTTGAAAAAGGATTGAAATTTAAACAAAATACATGACATCTTTTATTAATGATGGCGACATTATTTGTTATATAAGACTTTGGTTTGATATCTTGACCAGTTATTGTCTTCTGTAATTTCTTGTTTTCTTTAGGTTTGGACAGATCCAAAGCTACACTGGAACCCGGAAGACTTTGAAGGGATAAAGAACATCAAGGTTCCAACGTCGAAAATATGGATTCCAGACATTCTCATCTACAACAAGTGAGTGGCGTAAATTTCAATACTTGCAGTTTGGTGGACTGGCAATTTTATGGGTTGCTGGTTGGCTGCCCTTGAAATTTGTCAAGAGCTACACCGGAAACTGTTGTCTAAGTCTAGGTCTTTGCCACACTGAAAATGCCCGGGGACACACTGACAATAGACTAAGCCATAGCTATTGAAGCCTATTTCAAGCACTGTCTGAATTGCTGGTTGGTTGACTGTTTGGCTAACTTAATGACTTGTTGATCGGTTCCCTGGTGGCCGGCTGGGATGCTGTTCTGGTCGCTGGTTGGCTGACCGACTTTCACCAGACGGCTGGCTGGGGGGTTAGCTATTTAGCTGATTGGTTGATTGAATTCTGTGGATCATGAGATCACAGCTGGTTGGTGGCTTTTTTGTATGCTGTCTTGTTGGTAAGCTGATTGGCAGAATGGCAGACAAGCAAATTTGTATGCACGGCTAACAGGTATAACGTCGCACTTGATTTAACCAGTTCGTGTGACTTCGTTTTAAATTAAATCACGCCCAATCACGCAGTTCGAACCGCAAGTAGAATAAGTGGTGTCTTTAGCAAGTGGGCCTGTATGACGTTGTCATGAAGAGTATGGTCTAAATCAGGTTGACTGAATTACTGACAGCCTTACCAGTGTGCTCACTACACGTATAAATAGTGGAATGATGTGTTGAAAGGCGATAGATTTGCCTTTATACTAAACAACTTTATCACAGAAACTAAATGAAATACTTTTGTATCATATTTACATTTAGTGCCGACGGACCTTTTGGGATCGACTCCAAGGCATGGGCGAACATCGCCCACAACGGGACGGTCACCTGGTTCCCTCCCGTCGTTTATCGTAGCTCTTGCAAGATCAACGTCCGCTACTACCCCTTCGACGAGCAGAACTGCACCATGAAGTTCGGCTCCTGGACCTACGACGGTGGCGTGGTGGACCTGGTGCCGCTGAACAACAAAGCCGGTCGGAAGGACTACTGGGAGAACGGCGAGTGGCAGATGAAAGAGTCACCCTGCATCAGGCACGTCCAGAAGTACCTGTGCTGCGAATATCCCTACATCGACATCACGTGCAGCTTCATCCTGCGCCGTAAACCTCTCTATTACTTTGCCTACTTGCTGCTGCCCTGCGGGCTCATCTCCTTCAATACCGTCTTAGTCTTCTACTTACCTCCCGACATCAGCGAGAAGATGTCGCTGTGTACCTCTGTGCTGCTCTCCATGGCCGTGTTCCTGCTGCTGGTGACCCAGCAGATCCCGGCCAACGCTACCGACTTCCCGCTAATCGTCAAGTACCTGCTCTTCACCATGGTGGTGGTGTCCTCCTCCATCGTCTTCACCGTATTCATTCTAAACATCCGGTTCAGGTCGCCGCAGACTCACACCATGCCCAAATGGGTACGGTGGCTCATGATCAACACCTTGCCCAAGTACCTGGGCATAAAGAGACCTGAACGGTACTCACTACGGTACCGCACAGTGGGGGTCACCATAACTCGAGATGCGTTGTCGTCCAGCTACCTCGACGCGAGGAAAATCATTATGGAGAACAAAGGCAATAATTACAATGTGCGCATGCGCAATGAAATGGAAAATGAAACTGAGACCGAATCTGATAGTGATTTGCATCAAGGTAATTGCCCAATTAGGAATGGTGCCTAAGTAAAAAAAAAATGCCCGACCGGGAGCTTAGAAACACGTTTAAAATGGTTTATTTATCCGAAAATGTCCTAAAATACATGTATCCCAAATTCTAGGAAAGGATATTTGCTGAATTGTTTTGAACGGTTTCTTTCAACAGGCGGAATGCAGCCACTGAGATACCTACCTACTACACATGTAGGTACTAAATGCCCAGAGGCCATGGTCGTTAATAACGCCATAGAGGAGATCATGTATCTGACGTCACAGTGTGCCAATGAAGAGGACGACAAACGGGTATAGGAATGAAAACAAAAGTCAGATTTTTGCCCATGAAATCAATTATTCAAACGGATCATCGAAGAAGTTTTATGATAAGGCAAAGAGGCATAGTTTACGTTTTCCCCAAAGTAAATATTTTGTGCAGATTTCCATAGTCGAAAACGATTAGATCTGGAAGACATAAAAAAAATTAAGCCAGCACAGCTAATTGCTTATCTGATGCGTACATCGCCGCTTAAAGAATAACCAGAAGAGACATGATTATCAGTGCTGAAACTTCAAAACCACGCTCTTATGAATGACCGCCTCAGCCTGCTGGTTACCATTGCTGGTCACCCATCCCTGATAGAGTAATAACTCGGAGCTTTTCCTATACCAGTTTAAGTGTACAAAGGCTGAGAGTTATGATACGAACCCTGTTGAATGTTACTAAATGCAAAAGTGGATCGGACTGCCAACAAAGCCTTGCTGCTGTTGGGTACCCAAAGATTGGCCCACCTTGCAGCCATCGTGTGTCGACAGCTCCACATCACTGTTGTATTTTTCTACATAGGGCCTAGATAGCAAGGCTCAGTGCTACTGTTCACTACATTTAGGCCTGTGTCCATAATCTGAAACCTCTGTCTTCTTTCCTTCTGCATAGGAGAAAGAAGACTGGAAATACATCGCAATGGTGGTGGATCGCATTTTCCTCATTGGCTACCTATGCGCCCTGTTCGCAGGCAACGTGGGGATTATCTTCGAGTCACCCAACGCTAAGGAGTTCTTCTTCGGCGGATGACGGAAACCGTTTGGAACGGGCAGAATGTAATATGGCATAGAGGAAGACCACATTTCAAACGTCGAGTAATGCGTTCCTGCCTTTGAGGTGAAGCGGCTTCGTTTACAAGAATTCTGCTGACACTGATCCCGTATGTCAAGTCTGTGTTACACAGCAAAGGCCTTTCTGTGCTTGATGTTGGGGTTTGCAATAAAGATTTTTCTATATTAAACAACCCATTTTACGCAAGTATTAAGATGTTTTAAAAGAGGGCGGGTGCCAACACTGCTTAAGGAGTATTGTGCTTTCATTGTTTTAATGGAATGGCAACTTCCTTTTTGCCTACCCTTGGAAATGCTGCTAGAGGCAATATCAAAGCATGGAGCATTTAATAGCTCCATGATCAAAGCCGCATACAGGCGAGGCGCATGCGTCATTTTAATCTACTTTCCGTTAATTGGGTGTATGTGAACATTTCGAAACGATTGGAACAAAGTTTGCACGCATCAAGACTTCCGTAAATGTAACCCCAAGGTAAACTGAATGGGAGACTTTTAGACGTTGTTGGCAGCAGACATACCGGCCCCTTTTCACAGTTCTGCGCCTGCTCAGAATAATGTGCGCATGCTCAGAACTGGTAAAAAGGACTGGTATGTGTGCTGCCACCAAGCGTCTGAAGGTTTCTCATTGGACGGCAAAACACATTCGACCTTAGAGTAGAAATAGGGCCTTCTGTTTATTTCACAAGACACTTTCTGGAATTCACTGGTATGCGCCAAGGCCTGCCTCCTGAACGTCAACTATTCCAATCGTCTTGCAGGCGTTGCAATAACACTAGGGCCTACTATCAGCATTGTTATTCTCACTTTATCTCAGGCTTGTAAATACGGCTGCCATTACTCTGCACACTCTGTGAGGTACCAAACCAAAGCAGGTTTTGAATATCAGCCCATGTAATCTCTCAGTGCACCGCATATCTTTTACAGAATATACGCTGTGCACATTTGCTGTGAACTTCTTAAAGTAGTTGATAGACGTTTGTGGCAACCCTTTAGAAAATTTTGCCAGAGCATGGTTTTCCAGAACCAGATATTTGACCGGATATAATCGTTACAACGAAGGAAAAACAAGACTTGCAGATATATTGGTCAATTAAAAAAAAATAAATCACAAAAATTCAATGGCCTCATCTTTTCTTTGTTAGAAAAATTAAATTATACTTCAATAGAGTAGAAAGATTCCATACTTTCAATTTGAAAAGAATTAAATAATTTTCCACTCTGTCTTTACAAATAATGTATTATTAACAAATAATGTATTATTAATGTTAATATAGATTTCTATGTATATTGGTTGGATGAGCGGCACACTGTCCGCAGAACAGTACTGTACGGGTTTGTCTCAAAGACATGTCCTTAGGATTAGAAGTGGCCTTGGTCAAGCTGATATGAAATTAATAGGAGCAATAGAATGGGGCTTTCACCCAAAAGCTCCTTGAAAAATATGTTCGCTTCCGTCGAGCCGAGAGATTTTCTGCTCTCATGAGTTTTGAGTGATAGGATCAGCTAATGGGGTGTCGATATTGCCCATGGCTGACGATCGCTTAGCATAGAGGGAGGGGCCTCGGCTTGTAAGGACCAGCGCACCAGTCCTGAGGGCCTCCATTATGAAATATCACATTAGCGCTTAATGAGACGTTCCCCGTCACTCACTGATTGATGCCAGTGCGTTGGCCTGATGTGATCTTTGAGCCAACTGTATGGTGCGTGACGAAGTTTTGCTTCAGTAATGGTGAAAGAGGTTATTGGCTAAGATGATATTTCATGCACATTGATTTATTGTGACCGCTTTTCTGATTTATTGTGACCACTTTTCTGATTTGTATCAAAGCGAAATCATGTGATTAGCAGCGCCATAAAATCGGTCACGTTTGAATTTATGACAAAAATTATCGTTTCATTTCACAACCCGTATTTTACAAGGCAGTGATGTGGCTTTGTAATTGTGATTATAAAAAACAATACCAACACCCATGCAGTGGATAAATTATTACGTAAGGTATCCGCGCCACAAAAGATTACACCCATCATAAGTACCGCTATCACATTATCCTCACCGACGCACCCTCTGCGAATAATTCTAAAAGCAAGGCGCAATGGATTCGCCAATTCCATAAATAGGCTTACATGTACAAATTAGTATGCCGCACATATTACTTTTAACGTTAACCTCATTACCATAATGTATACAAATACTAGTTGATGATAGAGTGCAGATAATAATTATCTGACACTTTGGGTGAAGATTTTTTATAACGTCAGCTGAATCCTTTTAATACAATACAATTCAATTCAGTGACGTGTATGTTTGGCGCCCTGGCCTCTGTATGGCTACATAGTACGACAAATTTTTTAGTATGACTATAAATTGTTTACTTTTAGAAACACTTAAGGGGTGTGTCTCTGTCTAACAACTGATCTTGCAAATAACTGAACAATATTTGGTCTTTTAAAGCCAGTAATCATGGCACAGAGTGCTAAAAAGGTCGCGTAGGCAAGGCTATTGATTGTGAGTCGTAAAAAGTACAATCTAATTCACGTAGTTCTTATTCTGTACATTGAATGTCTCATTTTTCATTGGACATAGAATATATTTAATAAACGTGCGTTCCGCACTTATTCTTGAAACACAATATCTGCAAAAGAGCTCTCCTGTTGTTCATTTTGTCCCTGTTTTCCTAGACTTGAAACTCCATAGTTTATGTACAGCCGTTTAGTAGACCTTAATCATAAGGAAGCCATTTTCGACTGTGATTGATTGAGTCTTATCTTATTCACTGTAAAATGTTAATTGGAGTGGTGCCAGACTATAAATTCCATGCCACACTTTCGGATTTTTTTAAATGTGGCCTTAAGCATTTTGATATAATCAATCACAAAATTTTATATTTTCCATCAGTATAAATGACATTTATTTGGGATGAACTTTTATTTATTGCTTTCCTGTTTATTCTGAAGTTCCCGAATAGACAGGTTAACGTCACTTTCAATTCAGTATGGCCAACTTACGATTAAGGCCAGTTCGGGTTAATCGCTGTTATAGATTTCACACCATAACTTATGTACCACTTGAGCACATTCAGATTAGGCATTGACCATTAATGGCCGTCATATAGCCAAAGCTTTTTTACCCAATTATTCTCCGTTCCAGATTTTCCAGGGCAATAATGCATAAAGTATGAGCCCCGAGCTGTACCAGTAGAGGGCGCAGTTTTCCGAGCAATGGCGGCTCCAAATTTAGTCGGAACTGCACGTTGTTGGTTCAAAAACGACTATGAAATGCTCGCGTTAGGCCTACGGGCTACCAAGTCTAGAATAAAATAGCTGTAGTTCATGCAAAATACAGCACCAATAACATGGTACATTTACGCCCGCCTGTTGCAGTGTATGCCAAACGTACACGCCCAACGTGCTTGCAACTACCTATCCATGCATGAAATATGCAAATTGGAAAGGCGTATGCGTGTTACTACCACTGGTTAATGAAGCACATCCGTCAAGACTGTCGGCAGTGCAGGAGAACTGCTTTAACCCTGTACTGTACCTGGCGCGTTGAAGGTCAATCAACTCCGCATTAAAACAGTTTCCCGATACTTTAGCACACCATTCTTGAAACCAAATGAAGTTTCCAGTGTCCTAAGGTCGGAAGGTAACAATTCCTTGTCTTTCAGTTCTGTACTCATGCCGAACTACACTAGCACAGAAATGACGTGTATGTATTAATAGTTGCGTGGGCATGGAGATCTTTAATATTGTTACGTCACTGATTTAAGCCACTTTGCCAACCAGTCGTAGTAACGCGCATGCACCTGCCTTATTTGCATATTTCATGGGAAAGGTCCACTGAATTTCTGATTGTACAGAGATTTCGAACCCGGCTAATCTATACGAGTTAGTCAAACCTGAAGTATCTTCTCAATTACCATAAGTGATCAACAGGGGTCGAGACAAAACAAAGTCTACCATGAGTTATATGTTCTCACCTTCGTACAGTTTCGAACATTGAGATCATACTTTACTACAAACAACTCCTGGTGGCAGCAGACATGTATGCAACTTCTTTTACATGTATAGTGAAGCTCTATATCAACAAAAGGCAGGTTTGACTTGTCTCACGTATTCTACAGGCGACAAGCAGTCTTTTTTATTGTTTCTGTCTGACTTATGGGCATAGTGCACCTTCTACTTCTCGTTTCGTTTGGAAGTGAAATTCTGTGTATCAAAGGACACGGCCCCAGCAACCTCACAGTGTTTTACTTGTCTGGAAGCTCGCTCTAACATGGGACGTCATAAAAGAAAGTACGTATTCCGGTAGTCTATTTTTTTCTGGGATGCATGAGATAACTTCTTTGAGGCCCTGTTGGATATAATTTATCAGAGGCGTTTCCCATGCCTTTCGACGCTGGTGCTAAAAAAAATTTGGTTCACAAAACTGTGTGAAATAAATACAATATAACCCTTTGCCGGCTACCTGTACACAACAGTGATAATGAATCAGGCTCCCCTCATAGCGCATTCGGTTAAGCCTATTTCCTTGGGTTTCTATTTTCTGTGGGCAAGCCAGTGCACTGAGCGATGATCGCTAAGGTCGAGTTCGGGCGACCTGTTCTCGACGCAGGTTTCTTGTTCTCGCGCTCCAACACAGGGAACATGACCCAAGAACACTGTTCTCGGAACAGGATCGTACACCGCCCCTCGTCAGGGTTTTACAGGAACACATGGAAGAACTCGTGTGATTTTGATTTTTGAACAACGTGGCAAAAAGTAGAGCGACATGGCTTAAAAAGCCAGAGACAATGGGAAGTTTTTCAAAATTGGCATTCATTATTTTCCAAAATACAGAACTGAATGTTCCTGTTTAAACAGAAAAGAATTCAGCCCAGTTACCAAGTATTAACTCTTGGATAACGTACATAGACGCCGCCATCTTGCATGTCGCTAACTACCAGCGATAACCAATTGTACGTTCCCGGCGTTCGAGCAGCTGACGTAAGAACAACAAATCAAGCTGTTCGTGAACATACGAGAACAAGCCACCCGAACTCGGCCTAAGGGTACTCACTGGCACTAGAGGGCGTTTCTCGGACAACGGCGTCTGCAAAAGTTGCGCTAATTGAGGGTGACGGAAGGCCTGCATCTGAAATGCGCGTCTAGAGCAGGGGAACGTCTGTTACGGTTGCACATGCGTGTGTACATGTATGTATGCGACAGACGAAGCCGTAGGTATATAGAAGCCTAATAGGCTTATGGCGTAAGTTTCAGCCTTTGACCCAATGAAATTCATGTCCCCTTCCGAGGTCCATCTTTTGGAGACGGGTCGGAGAGATGAATACCCAATCTGGGTGATTATTAGTAATCATTATACCGGTGGCTTTGTACATTTTCTGCAGGCCTACTGGCCTCTTTGTCCTGCCTTAGATGTCCTTCAGTAACTGGGATAAGTTTGGTTTCCCCTGCGACAGAGCGGTTGCGCGTCGTTCTATCAAATATCATCGTGCTGCTGGAAAAAATTATCGGATCCTGCCAACGACTCATTGCCCCGTCCTTATTTGCATACAAAATTCTACCAGGTAGGACCGACGCGAGATACGGAATGGTGCAGGGCATCCCAAGGACAGTCAGTTGTTTACGACATGCCTGAAATTTATACTCGTGCTCAGTGAAGCCTACTCTTTTCAAGTCCTGTATACACCGTACATGTAAATATTTAAGAAATGAGCGTGTGGCGTCCAGTTCCCAAATGGAATTTGTTGTCTTTCACTGAATGTAAAGGGTGACTCAGAAAAAATGGCGGAGCCCACTTTACCCGGGCTTAACTTGAATGTAGCCTCCCGTGCGCCGATCTTGAGCACTGATCATATGCAGATAAAAATGCAATAGTCGCTTGCACGGTGTCGCCTGATGGTGTAGAATATGTCACTTGGCGCGTTGCAGAAATTAACCGTGCGTGCTTGTTGCGGACTCCAAGCAAACAACCGCACTTTTATACGAGATGAGGTGGGGTGGGATTCATAACAGCGTGTTCGCATTGGCCGTGCCCGAATGAAGGAAACATCCACACGTGAACCGGCACTTTTCTGTGCCACCATCTGCAAGTCTAATCAGATCATATTGCACATCGATGAAGCCGGGATGATGAAACATCGACAGCAAAGATTCTGATGGCGAAACACAAAAAAATGATCCACTCTATGCGGATGGGCGACACGCGTAATCCGCAGACCTGTGTCCCCGGAGACGCGTTTGTACGGCTTGAAAGGGCCGCCGACCAGACCGAGTAATCCGGGAAACAAGCCAGGGTTCAGCCAGCTCCATTGCGAAGGTATAGGGCAAGGTTGCGTGCACTGCACGAAGCAAAATGTCAAATGTAACCAAGCTTATGCAAAAGCCAAGACGCTATCAGTGAGGGTTATACAAAGTTCTTTAAATTGTTTTCCTCCGGTGTGCGACCAATCCGAGCCCATTTGATGGCGCTGTCGTAAGCACGCGCCATTTTCTGCTACACCAACGGATATCGTCATCATTTTAACAAGGACCCATTCGTGGTTGGCAAAGAAAAACCCGCTTGACGAAAGTGCCAACACTCGAGTCCCTTTGTACGCGCAAGAGAAAGCTTATAGTCTGGTTCCAAGACCAAAAGACCCCGTCTCTTTGATAGAATCTTTAGGTCCGACAACTGCCAATGTCACGTGACCAAACGGGAGTAATTCCTCCCATTTTGAAAATATTCAAAATCGTGCGACATTTTTTGGAAACTGTTTCCTCGATTTTAGGTGATTGTTGAAACTTTGAACGAGCAAGAGTAAATGTCTGGGCCAGCAAGTCAAAGTTAAACTAGTTCACGCTGACAATGCAACCGTATATCAACAAAAGGGTGAAGGGTTTGGACTTGAGATAAGAGTCAAACTCGGTGCTCACACTCGGCGCAATTGCGAATGCATAAGCAAATTCTGTGAAGTGTTCACGCTGCTGAATTCGCAAGATTTGAGCAGACTGCACCTTTGACACGATAATGTCGCTAAGTATGCTTTGTGAGGTGAAATTTACCTCCACTTTCACGCAAAGAAAACGAAGTCTTTCAGCTTGATCCAGAAACCTAGTCCATCGGCGTACATGTTTCAGAAACTCATATGGGCTTAATGCAAGTTCTAAACAAAGACAATGAGGGAATTTTTACGTTCAAGTCGCATATTTATGTCTGTGATTCCAGTCGCTAGCATCATGCACTGATGCATATAACACATACTGCAAAAAACCGGTATTTCGATTGCTGCATTACCCATGATCGGCATGAAGATTGATCCCTCTTTGGGGAGCGGGAACAAATTCACTCTTTTGAGCTCAGTCAATCGTTTTGGAAGGCTTGGTGCACACCCCTGGCTGAGTCATGGTCACAGATTGTCCCCTTTACTGCCACAGGTAACTTTGCAACCTAATCAAACAACCCCGCCTGTACACAATTTTACAAACTGTTGTAAGCCGATGCTACGCCGCGCCTCAATCCTGCACTGTGCAATCGCTCATCCGAAGGCCAGTGACACTGCTCCGCCGAGGAAGGTATCACACGAGAAAACATAGAACATCACTGCACTACTTACGTGTACCACCCATCCAGTAGCGGTGTACCTGCAACGGGCCGCATATTGCGTCCAATTCCCCGGCCACCCATCTGACCACAACTCGCGGCTCTTTCACATCTGGGTTAAGAGCAAGCTGTGCTCATCAAGAAACCTGCGATGTAACCATCCGCATCGATTAGTAGTCGGGGAAAAAAGCAAACGGAAGAGTGGCACGGTGCCATCATGCACGGAAGAGTTGGACACAACGACAGCAGGTAACCGACTGCCTAATGAAATCCCAAACTGTGAGATGTTGTCCATTTTTAATCTGTTCAACTCGTGTCTGGGTATGATGATCATGCAATGGCGAACATGACAACTGGTGGCAATAAACCAGCAACATTTTTTGCTCCTTTTTGTGAACGTTCAACCGCACAACCGCAGCTGTCACGGAATTCATAACACGGACTGTGCCGCGCTGACACTGCTGTATCCACCACACGTCCTTTGCTCAAGTTTCGTCCAGCGTATTCAAGACTTCGACATACATGCGTGGCCCAGCTATGTGGACCGACATGACTGCTATTCAGAAATGGATCTCTTTTGTACTGTTTGTTACGATGCAGCAAGGTCAAGGTAAGATTAAAGAATACTTTTCGACCCACATATCATGCCTATGATGAGTATTATTTTGTACACCTTTTCTAAATTTCTGCATCGAGAATTAAATGAACAAAAAAAATCACGCAAAAGTCCATCTCTTCCGATCTTTTCTCACTCTCTATTTAGATCAATGTATTTAAACTCAAGAACTGAATAATATTAAGTAACGCAGATCTTCGATGCTTTGGAAAACGTAAGTTCATGTATTATTGAACTGCAACGCGACATTTACCTAAATGCAGTATAGCTGAAAAGGGAACTTCAGAAGGAAACCCATGTCGACTAATATTCTTTTACCACAAACTATTCTGTAATTTTATTTTTTTTTAATGTATGAGCAAGTTTGAATATGGCTGTCTTTAGTCAAACGTCTGTTTTCAGGGAAAAGCTTTATAAGACGCTGTAAAGTTGGTCGTGCGAAACCAAAAGCGGGAATCGTGTTCACTCAGAAATTCCAAAATGGCCACTCAGAGTGAATAAGGGCCCTTGTCAGGTTCGGTTCGGTGACAAGTTGCACAAAAAGCGATCAGATTTAGTTGAGTGGCACTTTGTCTGACACAGCGCAGTTGGAAACCAACTTCCCATTATTTTTATACGTGTTAGGGACAAGATTTCACCTCGTGCGACGTTAAGGAGTAGGCTAGTTTCTTTGGCTTCTTTGGTCACAGGTGTGGTTAGAAAACAGGTACTGAGGAAAGGTTGGAAAAGAACAGAATAAGCTAGGGAAATTAGGAGAGCAATACTGACCAGGCCTTCCCGTTCAGCGTCTCCGCTTCAGCGTTCTGCTTTAAAACCTCAGCAGCTCTGTGCTTCTATAACTTGGTGTTAGATTAACACTGAGTGTTATTTAAATCGTTGCTTTATGATATTGATATCTTGTCTTCCATGAAATTGGGATAATACAATTAAAATAGTTACCAACCGAATTGTCTGCACTGGGAGATTTTGGCGTGGATTTAAATATATTTGTGTCACATCCTCCCTTCCAATTGCCAGAGTTGAAAAAATTTGGAAAGTGTTGATCGGAGTGCCCACCAAACAGAGCCCTTTATTTTCATGGCCCGTGAGTATTAAGCATGAAGACTGACTGGCAGGCGGTTATACCTCATGAATTACACCATAGCATCTCACTGTTTGAGCGGCACCATTGCAATGGCTATTTCACGGCGAAAATTATAGCGTGACATAGTGAAGAATGATTTGAAGACAATCTGATGGATGTCTGAAAATAAGAAAGGAAAAAAAAAACCGATATTTACAAGACTGTAGTTCAGCAGGAAGAAAATGACAGAGCGACGAGACTTGTAAGAGCCAGTAGGGGATGGGGAGAAGGCAGAAAGGGATCCAAAGATAGGTTGATGAGACACAAAGGCCTACTCAGAATGAGAGGAATAACAACTCGCGGGAAAATAAACATTTTGTTCATTTTGTAAATTAGTGCGAAGTGTGTATGCCAGGACACAGCTATGGGTTGCTGCGGCTGTTTATGAAGGTTAATTCTGCTGAGGGCCGAGTTGGATTAATATCCACACCCAGACGAAAGCAGCACGTTTGTCTTCCAAAGCACGTACGTGCGATCCCTCAGCTTTGGATGGCTGAATGGCCCTGTACGTTGTTTTTGCTTAATAAGACTGTCGATGCGGTTAAAGTAAAAGTCACTTGGAAATAACAAAACAAAAAAATTCACGTTATACTTTGCATTACATTGTGTTATACCTGCGGTCACTCAGGCACGATTTACAATCAAAGGTTTGCATTTTTCTTTCGAGAAAAGAGGAAATTTTTTTATGTCATCGAGTCTGACTGTAGAAGGTAACCATTTATTATTAAGTGCCAGCCATTCACACAAATTTAACACGATTAGAAACAGCCAGAAAAACCTGTGGAAATCGCTTGAAAATAAATCGAGATATTAGTTTTATTACCTGAGCACAGAAATTAGAATGCTCATCTGTTCAATTAAATGGCTGGAAACGTCTTCCTGTCGGGCCCCAAAATTCAATGACACGCCTGACTGCCACTTGGTAAAACATTGTAATTAGGGCTACACGCGCCAATTGCCCCACCGAGATACAAGGATTCCTCGCGTCTGGTGCTATAGCTGAGGAGTATATCCCGCTCGGGACGCGCAGCTATCCGAGGACTCTTCTTCATTAAGATTGTGCTGCCTTGCAGCGGCGGTGGCAATGAAGATGCTGGCAAGGCGCCTCTGTGCCATGTTTCCGACACGTCTTCAAGTCAGCTTCTCTTAGTCAAGGTGGAGACAGCATCGAGTAATTGTCGCTACGATTGGGGCATGTACGGACAACAACGCAGCCGAGCAGCTCGTGCTTCGCATTAATCAACTATACAAAAAAATACCCTCTTCGGGCTTAATGACGAGTATGATCAATCTTTCACAGTAAAGAAGATTAAGATGAATGGTGGATTTTCGTTTGGGGCTGGTAATTATTTTGGTTTGGCCCGTTTCGGGGCTTCAATTCCGTCACTTCCTATCGCCAAGGGAAATACCTCACAATTAAATTCAGGCGTCGCTACGGCGTTTTGCTAGGCTTGTTTTTCTAACAGCACATGCAGTTTGTGTACAGTAATCTTGTATCTGTTCCACTTTGTAAGGAATTGATACAGTTTCCTGGGAATACGATTTTGAAGGAACGGGATCTGTACAGTAGTACAGGAAGCAAGACAGTGTAGGCCTAAGCTCATGAAATCAAATTTTATTTATGTATCGGTTGCGCGCGAAATTGTGACCAAGATTCCTCGTGGAACCTGGACACACAATGCTTCTTGAGGGCAAGCAGCATGACACACTGTCCATTTCTTGTTGGCAAAGGCAAAGGGTTATTATTATGCAGCAACCGGGATCATCCATAAATGTATTCCCAGGCATATCTCAACGCTTTACTGTTTATTGAATTCTCGCCCATTGTAAATGGTATTACTGTTGCTACAAAACAATCTAGTGATTGAAATCCGGGAGCTGGAGCGATTGTGGTAATACGATTCACCGGTTGCCTAGAAGCATCGCCTCGGGCAGTAGAGGGATCATGATTGACAGCACGGGTGTCAGGCATGGTATGGCCACGGAGGTGGTATAGCGACCGGTTTCCCGCGCTCCTCCACACGGACAGAGCCAGGGGTGCCAAATGACCGAGAAGACCTCGCAGGGTTAGATTATATTTGCCAAATGGAGCTGGTAACATGATCAATCATAGATCTCTTTCATCTCAGTTTCCTGCGAAAAACGAAAAGGACACATTGTTCAAAGCTGGAACCCATGGATCTTGATGCATGCATGTGGGCAGGGACGCGTGTTGGAAAGCTGTTCGATATCCTTGCAGTCCTTATACTTCTAAATGTAGATGATGCGATGATTGTCAAATAATGAATAAAACCTGCATGTGATGTTGACATCTCCTCAAGTGTAGTTCTGCCTTTAAATAAAACATGGTTCACTTTTAAATCAGATGTGTTAGCAAAGTAGAAAACTGATGCGATGCAATTCCTTGAATTCAATAAACACCTTACTCTGATCTCTGCGGATACATTGATCGACAAGCGTAAGCATGCGGTTGATGTGATTGGGCTTTGAACTTACACACTGATGGAACTGATGCAAACGGTGACGATGTGATTTTGAAACATGGCGATGATGCATTTAGCAGACTCTTTGCCAGTCCTGTTATTAGTGTTTTGTTTTTCATTAGTCTGGCCCTTGTGCAAATGGGCTATAACGCGCCACATCTATAACAGTCAATCCCAAACGTCCAATGCTGTCGTGTTACTTTGATATAGTCGGGCACTGTCTGCATCTCTTGTATCGTGGCCGACCATTTTGCCCAATTCTATAAGTTAACTGTCCTTATACGGAGAAGTAAGAGCAAGTTGTACGGTAGACGTTGTTTTATGAGGTGTAGTCATTTTGTAATGTGCAGTTACCGTATGGGCCTCGAGCAATGGAGGCTTCCTTGGCCGGGACTGAACTTCGCTGTTCACGAACGACTAGGAAATGCACGCGTAACGGTCGCATCGCCGTCAACAAAATGAACATTTCTGACCATACAATGCGGCTCTTTTCAACCGATGCGGGGGTGCTTCTGCTCGAGGCGGATACGAGTTGATTTCTGTCTGAAAAGAGCAAGGTGGAAACATGCACTTATCACCACCTCCTGGTGGATCACGTAATGAAGCTCATAGGATTTCGGTGCGTTACGGCCGTACCGCGATAAGCTCTGAGAAAATATTGTAACTTACTGAGACTCTGAAAATAAATAAAACCAGAAGATGATTGAAAAGCTGCTCTTGGCATTACCCTTCAACATTTTCAAATATCTCGGTGGAAGTGTGAAATCAGTCGGCTCCATGGAAAACATGATTCAACCCTAATTATTCTGTTTTACTCTGTACATGAGTCATTATTATTTTCTGCTGCAGCTTGAGGGTACAAAGTTTCTGGATAACGATTATCTTGATTTGATGTGAAACATGGAGTAGTTGGTTTAGTTGGTTTTCAGTTGTTTGTTTGCTTTTACTCTGGTTTTATTGTTGAATTCTTTTTTGATGTGGAAGTATGTCAGTATATCTAAACCCTACCATTACCCAGTGATTTTCTTGTTAGATATGTAGATTTATTTTTTTAATTTAATTTTGTTATTCGTTTTGCACGAGTAACAATGTAATTTCTTTCTTAAAATCAGCATTTTACCGTTAAATACGGACAACGACAGATCACATCTGTTTTGAATGATGTTTCTTGGAACTATTTGATGGAATGATTTTAAGGTAAACAAAGCAACAATAGATTATGCAAAAGTAAAACCAACCACGTAACCCACGAGTCTGTAATGCAAGCATCAATCTACAAACATATGGGCGATCAGTTTACAGCCGAATACGACAGTCCTTAGGAGCATAGGGTTTACCACGACACGTGCCCTCGGCTTAACGATGATGTTTAGACAGACTAGAATCGA